TTTTTTTTTTTTTAAGAGAGGAGAGACACTCTCACTTATCACCCTTGGTAGAATGCTGTGACGTCACAGCTCACAGCAACCTCCAACTCCTGGGCATAGGCGATTCTCTTGTCTCAGCCTCCCAAGTAGCTGGGACTATAGGCACCTGCCACAACACCTCGCTATTTTTTTGTTACAGTTTGGCTGGGGCCGGGTTTGAACCCGCCACCCTCGGTAAAAGGGGCCAGCGCCTTACTCACTGAGCCACAGGCACCACCCATGAGATATGGATTTTCTAGGGTGTGCCCAGATGGTGCTGGAAGCAGGCAGCAAGGTTAGCTCTGACACGGTGCGTACACGCTCATAGTTTATTTGATCATATCCGGTTAAACCTTACTCAAAAATATTTACCATTGGCACCTACAGAGTTCAAAACACTAACACAGTACAGTCTGCACTCTAGTTCCTGAGGACTGAAAGAGATCATTTCTGGGCAGCCTGATGTCACAGAGGCAGTGTCACCAAATATCACCCCACTCCCACTTTGCTCAGAATGGGACGTTTTGGGGAAAGAGGGAGGGACTCTCAGACCAGGGACCTACTGCCCCCCACCCTGATGCCCTGGAAGCATGGTGAGGTAAGCTCCAAGTTTCCTCTCAGGTGGACAGAACTGAGAATGAGGTGAAAGGTGACAATTACACACCCAAACCAGTTACAAGCCAAAGTTTTCAACAGAGAAGGGATTGGTGGCTGCAATAATAAACATTTAGGCAATTCTGTGGGGCATACAGGGAACCAAGTGCTTCAGTAGCAATATCTCCTAAGTGTGCTTATGTAGGGTATCCCCATCTCCAAACTGAGCAAACTGAGGCTCTGGCCAGTGCAGCACTTGCCCAGGGTCACAGGTCCAACAAAGAGCTGAGCTGGCTGACTCCAGAGCCTAGGTGAGTAACCACAAGTACTGTCCTGCCTCCCAGGCAGGGCTCTTCAGTCTCTCATCTAAAATGATGCATTACTTACAGGAGAAGCAGAACCCAAACCCAGAACTCTCTGAGCCCTTAAGCCCAAGGTCTTTTTTTTTTTTTTTTTTT